GGTTGTCTTGACAGTTACTCACAAGACAGAGAGACTTAGTGCCTTTGCAAAAGTGGGGCAGTGCAGGAAGAACCCTTCTAGAAATGGTCACAGAAGTCTGGCCCATGTGGAAAAAGCCACACAAAAGCTGCTGTGGACAGCATGGGATAGGACTGTGTTTTTCTTTAAAACAGTCTAATTCCCATCACTAAAACATCTGCAAGCCTTTCAGAAAGTTTATTGACAATCAGAAGAAAGATACCAATATGATAGGGTTATTACTACGGGACAAAGAAAAAGAAAACGCCCTTGAGATCTTTACTTTTCATGGTATTCAAAAAGTATGGCATGCCAGCAAACTGAGCATATACGCAAAACTGCAGCTGCTGTAATAAACCTAAATCCCAGGTATTAGTAGAAGCTTCTATCTTTGACTAAATTATTTAATTGCTCATATGCCTTGATGTGTTTAGGGAGAGAGCTGACAACATGTCTGGAATATGCAACTGGTATACTGTGGTTCTTACATTCCATGTCCAAAAATTTCTTTCCTTGATTAAAAAATTAAGGTCAGAAAGCACAGAATGACACATGCATTCATTTTGGGGCAAGCATATTCAGACTAAAATGGTAATACAGATTAGAAATCACAATTATTTTCAGAACTGCCTTTCCTATTCAAAGAAAAATGTGATCTAAGATTTTAAGTGTTATAAACAGCCCAAAAGAAATAAATTAATGTAGTTTCATTTACAAAGACTGATTTATTCAGTCTTTCTCTTTATAATTTGGAATGAGATTAAAATAATTGACCTGTTTAGGTGCCTATGTTTCTTTGATCTCTTCTGATCTCTCAGAACCAGGCTAGGACCTGATTCTTCTAAATTGGAGGCAAAAGATAGCAGCTCAGTTGACACAGCCACAGATGCAATGTACAAACCCAGAACAGCATACAGCATAGCTATTTCTGTCTTGGGCCTTTAGCACTTCATCTTCTATTTAAAAATACTCCCAAGTATGCATCTGCATATGAGCATCGAATGGTTCTGAAACCATTAATATACTAAAAATTATAGTCAGGTCTCCGGAATCAGAGAGAAAGAGAGTATTATGATACCCAGGCTAATGGAAAAAAGTAAGACAGAATGGATACTGAGGAACAGAATCAGGACAGATATCGCCCTATTTTTTTCAAAAGGGGCCAGCTAAGACCTAGTAGGGCTGATACCAAACAGGAGCTACCAAGCTCAGGCAAACAAGCCTAATGCTTATACAGCTCAGTGGTCCGTGGGCTCGGTAGTGTGTTAAGCAGAGCAAGACACAGGGATGCTTGCCCTAGATCTGCATGCAGGCAAGTCAGGTCCAGCACAATTATTACTGTACGCCACGTGAAAGCAACTACAGTGCTTCCCAGCCCACTGATGGAGGAAGCAATATGGATACACCCATGGTCCTGGGCCAGGACCTCAACTGTCCAGTGTAAAGCCACTACATATGTCTCTACACTGGCTTTACAATCCACCTACAATGCCAATAAAAGACCCATGGATACCTGAAAGCTGTTTGTGTTCAGCAAAAGCTTTCCAGGAACTCAATAAGGCAGTAACTAAATGAATATCCCATCCTGGCTATTTGCATTAAAGGCAAATTACTTTTAAGAATGGTTACTTTTCTGAAATTAATAAAATGTAAATTATTTCAGGACAGAAGTTACAGAATACAGTGTAACACTTCTGAAAAGAAAATAACAAGCAATATGAGAAAAAGGAGAAAAAAAATCCCTGTTAACATCTCTTCAAATAATCAAAAAAATATCACGGGATATATTTCAATAGTCTAAGGTACCCAATGCATTCTTGAAATGTTCACTGAGTGTAACAGTGGTTCTGGGAATTAGGTGTTGTTATAAACACCCCCATTTACAAAGAAGAAAATAGAAGCACACAAAGATTAAACACCTGATACAAAGCCATGGCAGTCACTGGAAAACAATTCAGGACACATTGGATGAGAGCCTAAGTGATTGCTCAAGGTTGTAAGGAAGTCCATGGCACAGCTTTCAATACAGGTCTTTTGTTCCCAGGCTATTGCAATATTCACTTCTTTTCTATTCAAGTAGAATTGGCTGTGATTAACATAGGGTGTTTAATGACCCCAAGAGGCCTCTGCACCAGTCCCATCTCATTTGACAACATTTACAGGGGCTCAGTCCTGTGGAATACACACAACAACATTAGCCTTCAGTTTAGTGTGAGCTCCTAAAAATCTGCTATGTCCCCTCTTGTTTTGCATGGTAGATTCCCACTAATGTTATGTTTAACGTAGGAATTTGCCATGGTCAAAAGGCAACAGGGAGCATTTATTCAGGAACTGTAAGCACGTCTCAGTTTCAGAATGCTATTTTCATTGTAGAACTTACTATAGCATTATTTGGCAACACTGTTAATACTGACCAGAAACAAATACAAATCCATCAAAAATCTGTACAGCAAGTCAAGACTGGGCCACATTTATTTAATAGGGTTTCCAGAGAGCTGCTGAAGGAAGTGCCCAGAGCTGCTACTGCCTACTCCGGTCTACAGACTCCTTCTGGGAGAGCAGATCCATGGTGCTCCAGAGAGACCCACTGATGCACCCAGCAGTCCAGGCAAGGGCAAGGCTGCTGCCCACCAGCTGTGGAGGAGACAGAGCTCGTCTGGCTCCCAGGAACACCAAGAGATGTCCAATGTTGCCTTCTGGTACACAAGCAGGCAGTCACTTCTGATTTCATCAAAAGCAGGGAATCTAATAAATAAGGTAAGAATTTCTCTATCCTTATGTACATACAGAATTAATGCCGTCAATACAGACTATGAGAAAAAGTAAGACAGAAAAATGAATACAAAAATATTAAATTCCAAGAAAGGCTATGCTTCTGATGGTATGCAAAACAGCTTATATATTTGAGAAAAGACAAACACACACTGCACGGAAGAGTTTTTAGAATTGCCCTCTTTCTTCATGAAAGAGAGTATATCAGTTTATTTAACCTCATCAGATAACTTCTAACAAACACCTCATCACATCTATTCCCTTTCAGATTGTGTTTTAGCAGTGTATTATTTGCATCAAGCATGGAGAATTTTGAACCTGGAAAAGCCTTCTTTCCCTTTAATATCACACTCCCTCGAGAGTATACCATTCTTTAAAATTCGATTCCTTCAATATATATTTTTTTTAAAAAGCACCCTCACAATCTGACAGGTAAAACCTCCAGAAAATAATTCTTCAGTGACAATGTTCCCAGAACGAATCCAACTTCAGCTAAAATTTGAATAATGTGAGCAGTAATGAGCTGGAAATGTACAATAATGAATAATTGTTCAATTCATGTGACAGGGATCATCCTCCACTAGAAATGACAGTTGCACTGGAACGATAAAACTGCAAAGGAGACTCTAAAATAGTGGTACTCTCCAGCCAAGGTCAGCATGCAGGACACATTTTTAACTCGAACCTAAAAAGTCTTCAACCCATTTTCCTAACCAGCATCCTTCACATAACATATCAATATGACCTATCTGTTCTGTCTTTTTGATTCAAAGCCTTTGTACGAGTAGCCATGAACCATGAAAAGTGGTCTGATTTGCAGTGATAATGAGGAAAACCCCAATTCCCACTGAAATCAAGATGAAATCGCCCTGATATTTAAGGGACAGCCAAACTGCTTAGCACCAGAGTAGGCTGAAAGACAAGAATTTCTATTTGCAAAAATATTCAAAGGTTTTCTCCCATATGAGTCATCTGCTTAGAAGATCACATTCAGTGCCCTGCTCTAGCCAATTTAGGCTCTTTGTCACTTGGCTACACTCACTCAAGCTGACCAAATAAATGCGTTTTCAAGGAATCCCCACTCCAGAAGCGTCAGTCTCTGGTTGGTGAGGGCAGTCAGCAATAGGAGAGGGAATTAAATTTCTGCCCTGAGCCATGCAGAGAAATTACTGAGAATTTTTTCTACCAGCTCAACATGTCTGAATTTAAGAAGCTGGGCTTGAGACAGCTTACAGGAACTCTGGGCTTTGTGCTCCTTTAAAATATTTCCACTGGCCATTTATTTGAGAGAATGTGTTTTTAAAATCTAGTATGTAGAGAAGGAAAGTACTTATAGAAGAAAGTTTTGTCTTTGACGTCAAAGAGAATAAATCCTAGTACTGCAGAGTAATCGTTCTCCACAGCATAAGTATCAGATTTGAGGATTCATCATGCTAGGGACAATGAAAGAATTTAACCCAACTTGTCTATCCAGCCAGCTCCTGCAGATTTGCTAAGGCATGAGTGGTCATGAGCCTCCAGACCTCTCACTGACACCTTTTTTCCTATATTTTGGCTTCTCACTGTGGCACAAATAACTATGGTTTCCTTCTAGCTGTTCTAAATAGGCAATGTTTAGAGCGCAGCTGTTTCAGTACAGAGGGTATGACAACATCCAATAGTCAGGTGAAAGAGGAGACATATAGGAAGCTAAAGTCCTAAAAGGCATAGTCTGAAAAAGGAATAATAATGTGAGATTACAGAGCTCTGGCAAACATACAGTAGCAAACTAAAATCAGATGACTGAAGCTACCACATTTCTACACATCCTCGCTATCCATCGGATAGCTGATCCTGACACAGCACAGGGCATCTGGTCTGCTAGTCAATCAGCTCCACAGCATGCCTGCCGCCAAATTTGTGCCAAACCTCCAAATGTAAGAAGAGACCAAAAAAATAATAAAGCCATTTGCCCAAGTAATATAGCAAGCTAGAGTCAGCAAGCTAGTGCATAAGAACCACAATATGCCAAAAACCCCAAGTCAGGTGCCTTCATTTGTCTACCCACACTGACTTTCTCAGATGAAAAGCCCATCTCTGCAAAGCTTGTCAACCCTGAAAAGAAAGCTGGCTCTTTTGCACAGTGGTTTGGGGGTAAACAGTGTCATTATAAGCCAGCCACTTACAAAACAGTCAGCAAAAGTTGCAAACAGCTGTATAGGCACACTTACAGATTACACATGTCAATCCTGGGAGGAGACAATGGCAGTAGTTGAAGTAGGAGCTTTACTCCATTCTTCCATCCTTCCTCTTTCTCAAATTCACAGAAAAGGTAGGTACATTCATCTGCTGAGAACTGGTAGAAAGCGTGAGTGTCTTGAAAATAGAGTTGTCTGTCCACTGTTAGAAAAAAGAACATTAGATAGCCTTTAAACCTTTACTGTGTAAAGGTTCTGTGTCCCCACCACATTCTCTATTGCACTTGACTTTAATGCTGAGTTGCACCACCACGCAGGGCAAAAGGATTGCAAACTCAGCATAGTTTGCACTCTCTCCTACACTCTCATATTAACTCAGTGCATCCAAACAGGACAACCCCAAAACCTCAATTTGAAGATCTCCAGGCTCCTGAAATTCAAGCATTAAGACTGCTGAGTATTTAAGCAATTTTGGAATCAGTTCAGAATTAGGGGATAAAAACATTCCATTTGACAGGTTTCTGAGCCTCAATTTCCATTGGCTTCTAATCTGTTCTCACTAATGGGCAGGCACTAGTAAACAAAGTTCAGTAATGGCTATGCAGCCCATCATTATCCCAGCTTCTCCTCAAATTCAGGGCTATTGGATTTGTAGACTAGACCTGGGTAAGATGATGCACCAGTACAACAGCTGTCGTCTTCCCTGGCATAACCAGGATTGAACTGGGATTGAAGGATGGGGTCCAAAGCCTAAAGCACAAGCTCCTGCTGGGAGAGTCATTCAGCCCTTGTTAAGGCTGCATGATCAGACATACTATCAGTGTAGTCGGAGCAGAAGAAAACCTTTAAGTATACTGTCAGCATACATACACAGAAATCTTCCATAACACCTCACCTTTTTGCAAGGAGGAAAGTTAAGTGTCTGGCACAGACCCCAGGACAGGGCATACTCTGAGTTGAGCTACATAAGTAGTCCCAGCTACAAAGTAAAGTCCATCAGATTTCCAGAGGTTGGTTACCAGTGTAATTATTGCCAACCACATTAGCTGGACCAAACCCCTAAATCTGGTGGGGAAGGTGGGGACAGCCGGGTAGAACCTGGCATCACCACTGTCTCAAGGATCTGAATCCTCTCTCAGTCCATTGTAATCTAAACCTATGAAAAACAGAGAGGAAGGGAAAATCATTAATAGCTAGAGAAGTCATCTGGCAAAGCCGTGACCTGCAGTGACTAAACAGCTGCTGTCTTGTGAAAAACCTAAAAGAGCTCGAGGAGAAAAAAAAAAAAATAGGCTGGAAAAGACACACACACTGTCTGCAACTTGGCAATAGGCAATTGCATTTGCAAAAGCAAAAGGAGGGAAATCGCCTAAAAAAAGAGATTCGTCTTTGGTATTTATGAAATGATAGGTCACAGAGGTGAGCCTACCGAAGAGACAGTGAAATAAACAACTGTCAAGAAAAATGGATCAATGTGCATTTTTTTCCTTTCCCTCCTTCCTCTCCCACCAAAAATGTGAGTCTTATCCTATGCAGGAGAAACCGATAGCCTTCCTGACACTAGAAGTACTATCAAGACTGACCTGATAATATAATGCCCATATCCAGGAGGAGCTGCCACACTCCAACTGCTGTAGATCTGCACTTAACAAAAGGACACTGCTCCAAAAGCCAGTCTACCAGTTCTGATCCAATACAGCTTCTCCTGAAAATAAGCAAAAAATCACTTCTTACACTACAGTAATCTTAAAATGCTCTTTTATAATAAAGAGCTATT